ATGATTTCAATGTTTTTAATATTTAGCTCCCACATAGGAGTGAGAATATGCAAGATCTGTCTTTCTGTGCCTGGCTTGTTTCACTTAACATAATGTTCCCCATTTCCATCCATGTTGTTGCAAATGGCAGGATTTCATTCTTTTTATGGCTATATAATATTCCATTATGTATATGTACCACAACTTCTTTATCCACTGGGAAATTTTTATTTTACACAACATAATTATATTTTCCATAATCCATGGGACAATGTATGTGAATGTATATTAGTAGAATGAATTCCTCTCCACCAAAAAAAGTAAAGATAACTTCTAACATAGTGAAAATTTGTATTCTTTTTAGAATAAAAAAAATTTTTACTATCTTGATTTATAGATTAGATACTACAATTATTATTTTTTTGTAGAGATGGTGTCTTGCTATGTTGCCCAGGCTGGTCTTGAACTCCTGGCCTCAAGCAATCCTCTCACCTCGATCTTCCAAAGTGCTGGAATTACAGGTGTGAACCACCATGCCATCCCTAAAAAAAATTTATTGATATATTCAAATCAATAAGAAAGGCTGAACTCAGAAATACATTTAATGAAATAAAATAGATGAAACTGTAAAGTGCTGAACAAACACCAAAAACTGTAAATAGTTCAAACCTTCTCCCTAGCTCAGTGATCCTTCTATTACAACAGATCAAGTAAAGCAGAGCATTCTATGCCCACAGTTAGTGAAATATTTTTCCCTATCCGGAAACTTAAATAGGAGAGTGAGCGTTTGGTTTTCTTGCCTATACTATTGCTGTTTCAGCAATCATCTGAGAACCCAATTTGGAATTCCATCTCTATTAATGCTCTATGAAGTCATTCTAAATGACAAAATTCAAAATACTTAAGTTGAAATTATTAAAGTCAAAATTTTTCTCTGTGAATCAAAGATTTAGTTGTACATATAGTTTTCATTTCAAATGATTAAAGTAAGAATGATATTATAATAATGGCAGCCTTGAATAAACTTGCTAATTACATAAACTTATGTAAAAGGATGCAAATATCCCTTGTTCATGGGTCTTATGTGGCCTAAATAAAGGTGGCCTATGATGTAGTATTAATTATCCTGGAAATAATCAATGTTTTTAATACATATTAAAACATTAAAAACGTGCAAGTGGATCTTTGGCAGGAGTAAGTTAGCATAAACATTTTTACTGTTGATTGCTACTTGAATCCTTGTGCTTGGAGTATTAAACAAAATGTTCTGTTACTGGAGGAAATTAAACCGAGAATAAAGATAAAAGGCTTTAATATAAGCAGTATCCTATTTAAACATAGATTATTTAAGTTTGTTTACTGGAACTTGGAGACCATTTTCTAATAAAAATGGCTCTGAATATTAAGTAAGAGAATAAGGCTAGTTCACACACACACAAACACACACTCTCTTTCTCATACACACACACACACACACTATACACAGTTTTTCCCTTAATAAAACAAAAATATATGGCATATACAGTGACAAAAAAGACAGAAAAGAAAAGATATCTGTGCATCTCGAATCCTGGTGCTGAGGAATACTGATTCACTTAGACGAGGCAGTCAGTTTTGTGAAGAATGAGGGGAGAAAGTTTAAATGCCTTGGCCAACTTAAAATATACCTTGCAGTTTTTCTTTTTCTTTATTCAGTGTATTAGCAATATTAATATTGCGTTTTATCAGCCATGTCATTTTTGGTTTTCAAGTGAAGTTAGAAAGGTTGGGAGATTGATAATGAGACCAATGGTTAAGAGGAAAAGACTTTCCTTAGGCAAAGTGGAAGCACAGAGAGAGAAGAAGAACAAAAAGGATTTCCAGGAGAGTGTATCTCTAGATAAAACAAAGATTTACTGTGTAGAAATTAACTAAGTTATGGGCAATGCATAAACCAACAGAAACCAACATATAAACAAACTGAAGGAAGCCATGCCTATGCATAGATTGCTGAGACAGATGGAAGTTCACAGTCATCTATTCTCATAACCACCCACCAGGTGGGGCCAAAGCTCCAGAAGAGTTGGTAATTGTCAGGACGCAGAGAAGAGCATTTAGGGTGAAAAAGTATGGAAGAGAGGGGTGAAAGTTGGCAATCAGCATGGAATAATTATTGCCTAGAAAAGTCTAAGTTTTCTTGTTACAGGAGAGTATGAGGTTGATGAACCAGTATTTGTGAGTATTTTTTTCACATCTAACTTGTTTTTGTTCGTATTTTAAAACATTAGTATCCTGAAAATGGAAATTGCTATTAGTCCTAATATGAAGGAAGAAACATGATAAAAGATACACAATACTTTCCATTGTCATTAAGACCTCAAAGTCATAAAGCAGATTAAAAAATGTAATGTCATCTTTGCCTTTCATATTTGAAATTGTTTTAGCATTGACTGCCCATGTCTGAGAAAAATGGCAAATCACTATGCATTCTTTTTGCACAAATTTCATGTATATCTAGTTGTAATTAAAAATAAACTGTTAAAACAAGTTATTCAAATTATAACAATGTATTTTTAAACCACATTTTAAAACATTTTGGGGTGCACTTGAATAGCACTGATTATATAAAAAGGATTTTGCACTTTACCAATAAAAAATAATTATGTGCTTTTTCAAATTTGAAAGTAGTATAGGAAGTTAATGCCATCTCTTTTTTAGATTATTGTGCGATGTTGCCATTTTTGACATTAAGCACTATGAATAATCTAAAAATAGTTTTCTTTAGAAGTGATCTCCTCAAATATGTGTTAACATTACCATATAAATGATGAGTAGTTAAGTTTGTTATTAGTAAATGGAAATTCTACCATTGCACACACATAAGGCTTCTCTTGCAATCTTATCTATTTTAAATGTATTCTTTAACATAATTATATAAAGACAAATTTAATCTTAATGTGTCAGAAAGTATTATCATCTTGCAAGCAGTACTCCAAGGTTAATAATGTCTGGGAATATAAAGTGTTTTTGACTGTAAGATTAGTCTCCTTATTTGAAAAGGGCTTTAAATTTCATTTCAAAGGAGATTTCACGCCCCATGAAATTTAAACTATGACATTAAGAAAACATTCACTTTATTATAATGCACTGAAAAATTATAGTGCAAATGCTTCTTGTTCCTATCCATCAAAATTGTTGTTAGAAATGTAAAGGGAGCTTTCTTAGGTAAAAATTATGTGATATGCTGGGGGAAAAATGAATGCCTCCAACTGTTCATCCTGAAGTCAGGTAATTACTGCTTCAATTATGTTATAGAATGCTTTGAAATTAGGTCCTACAGTTGGTTGCAGTAAAGTTTATGTTTAGATAACCTTTTGTTCATTGAAATTTCTGTTTATCCAAATGTTTTGTGAAGTATTCCACATGTTTTAAAAATGAGTTTTGAGGGCAACTTTTAAAAATACCCCTGATCTTCCTTCTGTGTCATGAATTAATACTGAGATTGTAGGACACAGATATGTGGTACCCTTAAATACTAATGTGAAGATTTCATTTGTTATCACATAGCATTTTTAGATATTCTGGCTAGATCTCAACTTTGATTTGACCATCTTCTTTTCCAAACAAAATATTTTTTGAACAATATAAAAAAAAATCTAAGAAACACATATTAGATTCCTACAAAATTTAGTGCATGATAATACCTTTACCTTTGAGTTTTAAATCATATTCATCATGACCTAAAATTACACTCTTATGTCTATTTTACTTATTTAAAAATTGGAAACTGACTTAATCACTCATTTCCAAGATGATCATAAGTAATACAAATTACACTTGAGTAATAATGGTCCATAGCAGCTACCCAATAAATATTAGTTGAATGAGTACATTGATATATTATTATATGGCAGAAATATGTGAATTGTACTTATATTAGTGTCAAATAATAATGACTAAATCATATTCTGACAAACGAGATGTGTGCTTATATTTCACATCCATAAAAATATCATTATCTTAAGTAAGGTTAGCTCATTTAAAAATAATAGAAATGAACAAAACAAAACATGAAACATACACTTTTTGTCCAGTCCAAATTGAAAACCAAATGAAAAATATATCACAGGAGAAAAATAAGAGATAAAATTGTCATCTTTATGACTTTTGAAGCCAATTGGTCCATGAACAAAAGTGTTTGCTAATCTTTGACACTCCACACTGGCCTATCTATATATTTTCAGGAATAATTGGGCAACAATAAGCCCCTACACCCTGCACCTATGAGCCTACATAAACTGTTATCTTGGTGCTGAACAGATCAGAGGAGAAAATAAGTGCTTGAAAGGAATAACAATTAGATTGACCTTATGCAGTTTTCAGCCCAAATTTATATCAACTGGGCTGTCCAAAAATCTTGGCATAGAGTCAGAAAGTTACTTAGAAAAAGTCTTAAGACTAATAGTTTAGCTAGGCTAGTGGAGAAGCAAATGGGAATGCTCTCTGAAAGATGTCACTTTTATTCTAGATATTAAATATTCCCCACAAATATTTTTTTTCAACTACAATAAGCCGGACCAGTCAAAAATAAACATATGCACATAAAAAAGTACATTAAGAAAATTGGAAGAAAATATTGGAAGTTGAAGTAGATCCCCAAATACTTAATATATTAGAAATGTCAGACACAGATTAGAAAACTATTATTCTTTTTATGTTCAAAGAAATAAAACAACCAAGTTTGTATATGTATCTGTGGAAAACATAATAGTATAAAAATTGAAAGCAGATTTGAAAATGCAAGATTAAAAATTACACAAACAAATACTGAAAACTCAATACATGGCCTTAAACACTGTTTACATACAGTTGAAGATAGAATTAAATAGAATAAACCTCACAAGAAGTTACCCAGAGCACACTTAATAGAGAGAGAGGTGTGTGGTATGGGAGGTTTAGTTGGATCATGATTAGAAGAAGAAAGAGTGAATACCATTGAGGGCTGGCAACTCTCCAATCCACAGACTCAAGAAGCCCAGTGGCTTTCCAGTAGTGACGACCTCCCCATGAGAACATGCCTCTCGCAAAGGATCTCCGTCCTCCCTCTCCAGAAAAGCAGAAGAGGAAACACAAAAAGAAGCACCCAGTGCAGAGCCTCAATTCCTTCCTCATGGATGTGAAATGCCCAGGATGCTATAAAATCACCATGGCCTTGAGCCATGCACAAATGGTAGTTTTGTGTGTTGGTTGCTCCACTGTCCTCCACAAGCCTATAGGAGGAAAAACAAAGCTTACAGAAGGATGTTCCTTCAGAAGGAATCAGTACTATATGCCATCCTGAAATGCACATTGGATGTACACATTGGGATTCTTTTACATATATAATAAGTATATATGCATGCATATATATTTTACATACATATATGTACATATATGCATGTATATTTTGCACATATTTACATATATATGTAAAAGAAGCCCAATGAATCTCAAGAAGTGTGAGTATAAGACAGCTACATTTAGGCACAATATAATGAAATTGAAGTACAACAAAGAAAAAAAAGAAAATTCTTAGAAGTCATCCAAGGGGGAAAAAGTATGTTATTTCTAAGGATTTCTAAATAGACCAATGGCTACATTGTCATCAGCAATAATGCTAGCCAGAAAAGAATGGGCTGATAATTTTAGTGTACTAAAGAGTATCAGACAAAGAATATATCATTGTAGATATATGAACATTTTCTGAAGAAAATTATAATGCAATAGTTTGACTACTGTGTCAAACTGTTAGAAAACAGCTAAAACATTACTTATTTAGAAAAAAAACATTGAAAATTAATGAGCTAAACATCAATTTCCTATGTTATAAAAAGAAATCCAAAACAAATCTAAATGAAAAGAACATGACAGTAATGTAAGTGAAAGAATAAATTAATATTATAGAAGCAAACACTATATAACTTAAAGCTAAAGATTGTTTTTTGAAATGATTACAAAATGTATGAACTTTAATCCATGGTATTGATTAAGACAATAAAATAGAAGGCATAAATAACTGATACCAGGAATGACACAAGAAGCCCAATTCTAGATGTTACAGACATTTTAAAGATAATGTAAAGATTTTATGAACAACTTTGGGCCAGCACATTTGAAAATTTAGATCAAATGGGCAATGGCTTAGAAAGATGTAGCTTAGCAAAACAAAGAAAGGAGGAGCCTGAATTCATAGTCAAAAATCTTTTCAGAGAGAAAACCTCAGGCTTTATGGACTTTAATGTGCTATTATTATAGAAAAAGATAATAATGGCAAACATAATAAATATGATAAACTACACAATAAGACACTTAGAAAACATTTCACATGCTTACAGATGGTGTGATCAGATTGCTGTGAAGTTCCAGGGCCTTGGGCTGTAAAGAAGCAGATGCTTGCTGTCGAATTCATGACCACTTCACCCAAGCATGAACATCTCCATTCTGCATCTTAATCCTCAATCTTTCTTTTTTATCACAGTGTTAGAGAACTATTAAATAAATGCCAAGCCATATGCATATTGGCATATTTGCCTTTCTTTGAACCTTTATAGGATGCAAAAGATGAAAAAAAAATACTGACTTGTCATACTTAACTTTCAAGTCTGGCAACATGTGGACATTTGGACTACAAAAGGAATGAAATCAGAGGATTAGAAGAAACCTTGGGTTTTGCTAATCTTTGAATTGTAAAACCACACGAATGATCATGGTAAATCAATTTTATTTTTAGTATGTCTGCCTCCAACAGGTTTGATCATATGAAGAAAAGGCAGTGTGAGTTCTTTGGAATTTTAATGTATGTATAATGATCACCTTTCTATGGATCTTGCTTTTTAAATTACACAGAAATTTCTGTATGCAGCCATGAGCTTTCAATTTCTTTTTCCTTACTTTGAACTTGTTATTATTCCTTAAATATTATTACCTGATCCGGTTTGCCAATGGCATGTTATAACAATAACAAGATGATAATTAAAATAGTAATGATCATACTAGTGGCTAGTGTTTACTGAGATGCTTAATATAGTCCAGCACAGTCCTAAGCACTTTAATAATAGCTAATGTGTATTACTGTATTTCAAATACTTTATGTAGATTATAGAAATTTAGCAACTTGCTCATGGTTATGAAGCTATTAAATGGCAAGACTGGGATTTAAATCCAAGAAATCTGAGTGTAGGACAGTGGGTCTTAACTCTAGTTGAGGGCTTATTCAAACACAGTTTGTGGGCCCACCCTTAGTAGGTCTGGATTGGGGTCTAAGAATTTGTATTTCTAACAGGTTTTTGGATAAATCTGATGCTGCGGGTCCAGGGACCACACTTAGAGCACCATTGCCATCGGGACCTGGGTTCTAAAGCTGGGGACCCCAGCCCCCCTGGCCGTGGACTGGTACTGGTCCATGGCCTGTCAGGAATGGGGCCTCACAGCAGGAGGTGAGCAGCAGGTGAGCTAGGGAAGCTTCATCTGTATTTACAGCCCAGCTGCCCTCCATAGCTAGAATCATCCCTTGAGCTCCACATCCTGGCAGCATTAGTTGCAAGAAAACAAGGTCAAGACTCCTCCGATACTGCATTATAGTGAGTTGTATAATTTTTTCATTATCTATTACAAAGTAATAATGACACAAATAGAGTTCTCAATAAATGTAATGCACTTGAATCATCCCGCAACCATCTCTCCCCAACCCCCCCACACCCAGTCCGTGGAAAAATTGTCTTCCATGAGACCAGTTCCTGTTCCTGGTGCCAAAAAGGTTGGAGACTGCTGCAGTCTAAAGCACTATGCTGTACTGCCTCCTTGCAGCATCTCGGTTAATCCTGTCGACAATTCTGAGACATGTATGATCATTACCTCTATTTCTACATGGGAAAATTGAGAATGAGAAAGATTAAGAAAATTACTCAAGGTCAAACAACTAGTAAATAGTAGAATTAGAATTTAAAACCATGTCTATTTGCCTCTGTCTAATTATTTTTGGACTCTGTGTATGTATGCATGTGTGTGTGGTTGGTTTCAAAATAGTTGAATGTAGATTTGAATTCTAATTAAAATTCAACATTGTGGAATACATGATTCTCTGTAGAACTGTACCCGATGGTTTCTTATAACATGGCTTAAAAAAATCACTGCAAAGCCCAAACTTTTAACCACATTTCTACCATAATTTAAAAATAACCAAGACCAATCTATGCATTTCTAGGAATCACTTAGAGAAAAATCAACCAGGAACTTTTGCCTTTATTTCTTTTAATTCTGGATATCTATTACTATTTATAACGTTGAACATTTTCTGAGGTATTATTTATTTTGAATAATTTTTTATTAATGAGATTTTTTAATTCAAAATTAATAAATGATTAACAATAGTGAAGGAAAATTTGCTCTCGCAATTATAATACATTTTGTCTAGGTTAACAATTCAGATGAGTTTGCTAAGCTAAAAGAATTCCCAAATTAATTCAAAAAATCACAGAGGAGGAAAGTACATCATGAAATTATATACTGTGGGGATCCCATGAATGTAAATTGCTGCATATTTCTTTCTCACTGAACACTTGACCCCTATTCATATATATATATATAATGTCCCAAAGGGACTCATTCACAAGGATCAAAGGCTTTCATATTGACCATTGCCGTTGCCTATTCTTAAATTTTTGAATGTGCAGTATTTTAGATCAAAGCCTTCTCTCAGATGATCTTCCTGCTTAAGAGGAAGAGATTGTGGGCGAATTTTATAATTCAAGGATTTCCCATTTGAACAAATGTGGCTACTATATAGATTTCAGTAGGAGATAGAAAAGCTGTGTCTTAGAATTCACAGTTGTAATATTTATCTTGGTATTCTGAAAAGTACTTTGGCATTAATAGTAAATAGTGTGCTTAAATATACACATATTCATTTAGATTCTCAAGAACTTTCTTTGTAAATATTGCCAAAAAGTAGGCTATCCTTTGCTGTTTGGGCATAAAATGCTCTATGTATTAAGCCTTGGGTTAACTTGGGGCTGGAGCAATGTGCTTGCCTGGCTACTTTCATTTTCTTTTCTCTTTGAGGCATCTTTAGAAATATGCTTATTGTGGGGAGAAACAAACATTACACTGTACTATTATTAATATTTGAGTGTTATTTAACATATTTATTTGAAAAAATATTTTCAAAACTAAAAATATTTATTAAGATATTTTTCTTTCTTACATGTAGTTTTAGAAGGTTTTTGGTTTTCATGAGTGACTCAATAGACCTACAGGCTCAATTTAAAATCACATAATTAAAAAAATTTTTAAATGAGAATATAATAATAAACCTCAATAGTTCTTAATTCTAGATAAATCCACTATATTTGTCCCGGATGGTAAATGTATAAAGCTTTGTGGGAAAACACAGCTATTTGCTTTTCCCCATATCAAGTAGCAAGAAGACTTTTACATGGTCACTGTGCCAGTTTTGGAACCATCATTAGTAGGGTCCTGACACTGATTCTCACAGCAGAAAGAAACTGTATTCTGCCCTGAATTTTCTAGGAAAAGATGACAGTACATAGTAGGAATTCACACTCCTTGGTCTTGCAAATTCTCAGTCTAACTTTCCCTAAATTTTTTTTTCTACAAAATTTTTCCTGAATTAGGAGAAAACTCTCCTAATGTCTCTACCTACAGAAGTGCTCTGAGTGTTGACAGACATGAATGGATAAAATGGCCCCTGGCTATCTTCCTTTTAGTGACCAAATAGACTGACTTTGGGATTTCTTTTCTCAATTCTGAGGTTCATGCATCATATCAAAGTGCTTTAACTGTGTGTCTAGTTTAATAATAAAACTGGTGCTCATTTTCTAAGATGTAAAAATTATTTCCTTATTTTCAGCTTATTATTGAAATTACTTTCTTTTCTGAAAACTTTGAGTTTATATCTATTGCCATATTCACTTTCGGTTTTTATTTGGTCAAGATACATTTACTCTTTTCAATCTTTCTTCATAAATTATTCGTTTTACTTCTATTGGCCCATTTATTCCTCATTGTTGTATTCTCCTATAAATTGCTAATTACAAAAATATAATCCCAATGAATTTCTAAAGCATAATGCACACCTGACAAGTTCAAGTATACTTCTGTGCTTTCTATGAAAAAATAAGGTCTCATGTAACTCTACTATTTGTCTTAATGCATCAATCCAGTATCAGTAAATGTGGAATAATATGTGTGGATTACCAAATGCACTTGAACCTCTGGGAATTATGTGGTTATTTGGTTAATTCTGTGTCCTCTCCTAAAACTGTAAACACCTTGATGGCAGGGACTAGTCTACTTTCATTCTTGTACAGTAACTAATATATTGAAATGGGAATGAATGAATGCATTTTATGGTATAATGGCTTAAAGTAAAAACTCGATATTTCTAAAATTGGGTTTTTAGAGTTATTTCAGCAGCTGGGTGACAAAAGTGTTCAAGTTGATATAACTGAACCATCTGCACCATCCCTGATTTTCCAATACTATTTTATCTATAGGGAAAAAAATGTCTGACTAAAATGTATTAATATTTTCAAAATTTTATCCAATTATATAAGTCAGCTTAGGTTGCCATAACAAAATATCACAGACTAGTGGGTTTAACAGCAGAAAAATTTTTCTTTCTCAGAATTCTGGAGGCTATAAATTGAAGATCAAAGTGTCTTGACAATAGCTACATAATAGCTATAAGGAAAATAAAATACCTAGGAACATACTTAACCAAAGAGGTGAACAATCTCTACAAAGAAAACTATGAAACACTGAGGAAAAAATCACAGATGACAGAAACAAATGGAAAAACATATCATGCTCATGGACCAGTAAAATCAACATTGTTAAAATGTCCATATTACCCAAAGTGATTTACAGATTCAATGAAATTCCCACCAACATCATATTTCACAGATCTAGAAAAAATAATTCTAAGCTTCATTTGGAACCAGAAAAAAGCCTGAATAACCAAAGCAATCTTAAGCAAAAAGAACAAATTTGAAGCCATCACATTATCAGACTTCAATCTGTACTACAAGGCTGTAGTAACCAAAACAGTATAGTACTGCCGCAAAATAGAGACATACTAATAGAACAGAACAGAGAATCCAGATATAAATTCATCTGCATATAGCAAACTGATATTTGACAAAGCAGACAACAATATACACTGGGGAAAAGAAGCCCTATTCAATAAATAGTGCTGGGAAAATTGGACAGCCACATGCAGAAGAATAAAACAGGATCCATATCTCTCACCACTCACAAAAATTAATTCAAGATGGATAAAAGAATTAAATGTAAGTCATGAAGCCATTAAGAATTCTAGAAAAAAATTGTTGAAAAAACTCTTCCAGATATTGGTCTAAGCAAAGAATTTATAAAGAAGACTCAAATGGCAATCACAGCAATAACAAAAATAAATAAATAGGACTTGATTAAATTAAAAGGCTTCTACACAGCTAAGGAAATAATCAACAGAGCAATAGACAACCTACAGAATGGGAGAAAATATTTGCAAGCTATACATTCTGATAAAGGGCATAACATGTGTTCATATCTTTTGCCCACTTTTTAATGGGGTTGTTTGTTTGTTTTTATTCTTACTAGTTTGCTTAAGTTCTTCATGTGTTCTGATATGAACACATGTTTTTCAAAAGAAGATAGAAAAATGGCCAATAAACATATGAAAAAATGCTCAACATCTCTAATCATCAGGAAAATGCAAATTAAAACCACAATGAGATATTACCTTACCCCAGTTAGAATGGTTTTATTAAAAAGTTCAAAAACAATAGATGCTGGCATGGATGCAGAGAGAAAGGAACACTTATACACTGTTGGTGCGGCTGCAAGTTAGTACAAGCTCTATGGAAAACAGTATGAAGATTCCTCAAAGAATGAAAAGTAGACCTACCGTTTGATGTAGCAATCCCACTACTGGGTATTTACTGAAAGAAAAAGAAGTCATTTTACCAAAGAGATACCTGCACTCGAATGTTTACTGCAGCACAATTCACAATTGCAAAGATGTGTAATCAACCCAAGTGCCCATCAATTCATGAGTGGATGTGTATACCATACATAAACATGGCATGTGTATACCATGTAGTACTACTCAGCCATAAAAAGGATGAATTAATGCCTTTTGCAACAATTTGGATGGAACTGGAGACCATTATCCTAAGTGAAGTATCTAAAACATGGAAAAACAAACACCACATGTACTGGCTATTAAATGAAACTAACTGATAAGCACACATGTGCATAGAGGAAAGCAAAACTCAGTGGAAATCAAACAGAGGAAAGGGTCGAGGAGGGGATGGACAAAAACCTATCTAACAGGTACAATGAACACTATTTGGGTGAATGGCATACTTATAACCCTGACTAAAGCATTACAAAAGCAATCCATGTAACCAAAAACATTTGTACTTCCATAATATTTTGAGAGCTTGTTTGGAGGTTCTAGCAGGAGAGTGTAGCAACTCATATACCCTGACAGAAGAATGGTCCTCCTCTGTTGGGGAAGGTCATCCTCTTCAACCAATCATGCAGCTTCAGGAGGGACACACGTGGAGCAGTGAGGGAGGAATGGGACACCTGCCTAGTCAGCCAGATCAGCGAAATCAACCCTGGCAATAAATGGGGTGACAGATGTCACAGCCAGATCACCCTCACATCCCTCCATGATATTTTGAAATGAAAAAAGAAATTAAAATTTTAAAAAGTGCCTTCAAATTCAGTTTTTGGTGAGGACTCTTTCCCTGGTTTGTAGATGTCCATTTTTGCTGTGTTCTCACATGATCTTTCCTCGGAGCATGCATGGAGAAAGAGTAATCTCCTGTGTCTTCCTTTTCTTATAAGGAGACAAAGCATTTTGGATTAAATGACTTCATCTAACCTTAATATCTTCTAAGGGCTTTTCTCCAAATACAGTTATATTGACGTTTAGGGATTTACATGTGAATTTTGGGGAAACACAAATACTTCCATAATTCAGATGTACTTTCCACTTAAAACAATGCTCCTCACTTCAGAGGGCTTTGTTCCTTGAATGGAAGGGTGTCCAGTGGTAATATAACAAAAAATGAAGGCATTGCTTAGTTTAGACTTTCAAAATTACCATGTTTAAAGAGTACAGAAGAAAAAGTAGCCTTGAAAGTAAGGCTTTCATTTGTAAGGATCAAGCTCTTGAGAGAAAAAGGTTCTCTAAATTCCAAGTCCATTCTATAAATATCAAGAACCAGAATCTAGAGAAATCAAAGTTTTAAGATGTATGCAGGAATCGATGTCAAAGAAGTTTTTCAGACTGAAGTGAGGTAATGGTTTAACCAGTTGCTCAAAGGGGAAAAATGCAGAAGGGAGAATAAGAGGTAAAAATAGGTGAGTGTTTTTGAGAGGGTCATGGCGCTAGGTGCTCCTGAAATTGAATCTCTAGGGAATTATGCTCTATAGATTCCCCTGGTAACTTGAAAGATTCCTGAACAGAAAAGACTCATGTTCCAAATTCTATCTAGATCCCAAGGAGTGGTAATTCTTACAGAATTTCCTAAACCATTTAGAAATTGAGAATTTTTTTCCTTCTAAACTCTACATTATATGATATTTTATGCTTGCAATTAAAGTTAATTGTACACTGTTAAAATTTCTAAATAAATGAATGTATTAAATATCCTAGAGAAAGTGTGGTATATGGTGTATCTTCCAATTTTGGCTATTTTCTCATGCTTTCAGAAATGCTGTATTTTGCCTCCTCCTCACTTTCTTTGAGACGTGGCTGCTAATTTCCTGGTAACAGTCACTAAGGATGAAAGCAAAGATAGTACACTGTCCTTCCAGAATGCTTTCGGAAACCTTGAACTTTTGCCATGACAAAATTGTCACAGTGACTCTCTAATCCTAAACACATAGTGTCAGAAAATGTCTTCTACTCTCTGGAACCTCAGAAATGGTGAGTTAATTCAATCACTGTTACAAATTGTATTCAGGAACATCACGTTGGGGAGCCATAATCTGACAAAATGGAACCTATAGAAAATATCTCTGAGTAATGTTTTTAAAATATTGAAAAAGAGAAGGAAAATCCATGGCTCGCTGAGTAGGGAGTTATTTTTTCTGATATCTGGGTAACATCTGTTATCATATGCATGATCTTTCTGTATGTTATATTAGCTATATTTTGGATCTATAGTTTTAAGATTTTTGAAGTTTTGAAGGATCAAAGAAAGTTAAATACAATTGCTCTAGATTCTATAGACAATTTGTGAAGAGACCTTCAGGGGACTATGAATTGGAAAATGTTTGAGAAAACATTAAACAGAAACAAGTTACACTAATTTATTAAAAATTGTGCTCTCCTGGCTATCAAAAATAATATTCTGTCTTAAACATTGGGAAAATATTTTATACTTTCATCCTTTTTATCATGTGTTGTCAATGTTATTTTTTAATGATAATGTCAATTGGTAGTTCCTGCTTCACTCTTTAACTTAGAATAATTAAATATCAGATTTTAAAAGGTATCTATAGAGATAGGAAATGACAATCTTTATTGAAGCTTTCAAAATGAGGCAAAATAATCACATCATCTCTGGATTCACATAGTAGCATTACTTTTTGGGTAAAAACCACTCAAAATGAGATCATTATGGTAACAAAAATGATTATGAAGTCTGAGATGAAAATTCTATGTTCAGAATTTCTTAATATAATAGTCATACAGTAACGTTTCAAAGTACTTTGCAAATATTGGGAATTTTCTGTGTGGACTTTTCCCCCCTAGGCTCGTGGTAAGGCTGGAATAGGGCCAGTGTGTGTTCCTTTGTAGGGCAGCACCGAGAGTGAGTATTTGTTGTAACATTTGTTCTATCTTGCCAACTCTGCTGAGTGTGCCAGCCAAGCTGATCACACAGCAATTTAGGTTTTTGGCAGCTTTTTCTGCCATTCGAGTTGGGGTAAAGGTAATGCTCTCTGTGAAAACCACGTAGACTAATGTCTGAGGAGTAATGCCATGGCAGTTTAGACATTGCGGCAGTAATGAAATCTTGGTAAGCACAACATGTTCACATCAAACAGTAATTGTCATCAGTGTGGCTAACTGCAGATATGGTTCCATTTCTTTTCCCTTGTATGTAGTTAAGTGGAGGCTCTGAACTATCTTATAATAAGGAAATATATTACACGTGTCATAGATCTTTATGTGTTATCAGGGTTTTACTGTCAAACATGAATGAATACTGAAAACATCCTCTTGGTAAGATCATGGTAATTGCAGATGAGGAAAATGAAATTAAATCTACCTGAATTTTCATGTTAGTAATGGGTGAAGGGAAGGAAGTTCACATGAACATAGTTTCCAGGGAAGTGGCTAAATAATTTAGCATAATACCTAAACCCTTAGAATGTACTTTTCAATTTGCTGGATTCTAATATGACAGAAAGAAGGATATTATAAACATTTTTTGTGATTGAGCTCAATAAAAAGAATGATATTAAGAAGCAATTGAGTGTAGCCATGCATTCTTAAACCAAAATGGAAGAGAAAACAAATAAGTTCCTTAATAAATCTAAGTAACATATAACAATAATGTTTATATTGACAAAACAATGGCATTTATAATGGACCAGGTATTAAGCTAAGCATTTTACATGTAATAACTCATTAATCCTTTCAACAACACTGAAATCCATAGCATTATTATCCCCATTTTACAGATGAATAATTTGCCCAAGTCGCACAGCCTGGGAAATGGTTTGCCTAGGATTCTAATTCATACAGCCTACCACTGGAGTTCCTTGGTTACTTTGAATACTACTGGGCACTAAAACAATAATAAAGCTAACTCACACTTTTTTTACTATAGAGACTGCTAAGTCAATCCTCACAAAATCCTGTGAGATATGAAGGTGCTATTATTATCTATATTTCTCAGAGTAAGACTCAAATCTAGACGGGTCAGGTGGCTTGTTGTTAACAACATCACAACTAATAAATGATGGAGCTGTGATTCGCACTCAGAAAATCTGGTTGTAGAGTCTGTTATTAACTATTCTGCTACTTACCTGTCTAATTTTTTCAAACTAGACAATTAATTAGCTATATCCTAGAATCATATAATTGGAATTAAGTGGTTTGTTAAGGTTACTTATTTGAAAACTTTACAGCATTTCAATGCTTAAACTCATGAGAAAAACCTTATATCAAGCAAGAGGAATGCTTATTACACAGTTGATAGATATCTACTTTGCTATGGGTTTTCTGGGTTGATCCTTTGGGTTAATAGACTTTACTAGATTATTATTTTTTTTCCATTTTTCAATGTACGTATACCCATAATCTACATCCACTGGTGATTAAAATTATTAAGACACACTGCAACGGAGTGGTCATCAGCATCAGCCCCAGAGCCAAACTGCTGGAGTTTGAATCTGCCTCTGTCTAATTGCATGATCTTGAGCAATTTACCTAATAACCTACCATGCTCACTTTATTCATCAATGAAATGAGAATAATAATAACCACTATGTAATGAGTTGTGCAGAGTAAATAAATTTTTCTATGTGAAATTATTAGAGCAGTGCCTTGCATACTGTAAGTGCTGCATATGTCTGGTGGTACTAAGTCTCCAACTCACCAGGCATAATCCCTCCTCGAGGCCTTTGCATGTGCTCCACTTTCTACCTGGACCACTCTTTCCCCCAGGTAATTGCCTGGCCCAATTGTCATTTTCTTTATTTCTTTATTCAAATGCTGTCTTTACTCTAGTCCTGCCCTGGCCACCCTCTATAAAATTGTAATCACATCCCCCTCCTCCCATACTGCTTGTCCATTTGTTAGTGTTATTCCCCAGTCAGGTCACGTGCTAGAAAAAAAAGAAGTTTATTTTTTCTTTGTCATTTATGTGTCTCCTTATATTTCTCCTTAAATTTTTTTTTTTTTTTTTTTTTTGCTGCTTTATGTTTATGTTTTCTGGCAGCTACTTTGTGTTTTACTAATTTACCCTGTTTAGAGTCTGTCTCCTCACCAGAATGTAAGCTCCATGAGAACAGAGGTTTCTCTTTGATTCTCTGGGCTGTGTTCCCAACACCTGGAAGAGCACTGGCACATAGTAGGCACTTAACTGGTATTTGTTCTATGCATACATGTGTGAATGAATATTTCCTTTCAATGTCAGGGGTATCACATGTCAGAAATTGTGTGATATCTTTGGTTTTGTGTTCAAAATGACACAGACACTTGAGGTTTTCTAGAACTATAAAATCTGCTGCAAGCCTTGGTGTGAATTAGAACAAGATACTGCTTTCTCCAGGATGTAGCCCTGAGCTAGGGCACATGATTAGTCTGGAAAAGAACAGGATATATTGTAGGCTATACTTGCTGTTAACTTTTTATTTAATAGAAGTACAAATTTCTTTTATTAAGAGGATCAACTGAGATACTAACACAATCAATAGAAATGTGTTTATAAAATAAACTAAAAGTTGGTTAGTAAACATCAAAATCTTTATCTATCTTTCTACACAGTATATGCATAACAAATGCTGGGTCCCAATTTCTTCTACATGTATTTCAATGAGGTTGATATTTACTTGACAGCATGAAGTTTTATTTAAACCTTTTATGTTTAGTTAAAATACTATAAAGGATAATTTCTGCAAAAATCACTACATTTAAAATTGATAAAAATTTGCTCAAAATTTTATTTTAAATGTAGGGAAATTTTTACCAGTGGGAATCAGAGTTGCCATTTTGGGGTTTTTAATTTAAAATTGCCTCATTATGGTCTGGCTTTGAAATTTTTATTTTAACTCTATTTTGAATCACCAAAGAAAAATTGGATAATGTCTATAACAGGATAATCCATTTTCTACTTAGAAATATTTAAGATCAATGTTTTCGGGCCTCAGCTTAGAAATACTAGGTGGTTCCTGATTTTGCATTGCAACTTGCATATATTAATGTGCTTAAGCTACATTAGTAATTAAAATAGTTGATGTATCTCTGTTTTCTCTTTTTTCCATAGCAGTATATTAATGTAAAGTTTTATTTTTCTCTCCATTCTTCATACATATATGTTTAATTCTTTCACCTAGAGAATATTTTCTCCTTCATCAGTTTGTCTCAAAAAAAATACTATAAATTCCCATAAAATGAGGTTGTACAAACTGCACTAGTGTTTCAGGGTGGCCTTTGAGAACGTCTCCATTCTTGGCTAAGGACCCATATAACCTGTATGAAGAGCCGATGGATATAATCTATTAATAGTACCTTAAATAATCTCTGCAGGCTCAGTGTTACTATGCTTATTCTGCTTAACTTTTGTCTTATTTAAAATTGTGATTTCTATTCAGTTGCCTCATACCTAGCCTTTCTCTTTGCAGTCACTTCAGTTGTGTGTTTTTCTGATTTACAATATCACTTCCTTTCCTAGACTCTTTCTCTTGCATTAACCTTGATGTTACAATTTGCAACTTTGGGATTAGCCCAACCTGAGCTTAAAATTGGATTTTAGATTTCAGCACAGTCTTCAGGCCTTGAGCTCAGATATCTGGGGGAATGTGCATCTCATATTCCAGGGATTAAAAAAATACTCAAAGAGAGGATACTATTTAAACCAATAGTTGGAAGAATGAGTAGGTGTCCTTAGGTATCCAAAAAAAGTAAGACATTGGAGCAAAGGAAACACCGCATGCTTAGATATTAAAGAAAAGGGAAGTAGTGGGGTAGAGTATAAGGTGTTTTGGGGAGAGTGCTAAAAGAACAAGGTGCATTAGGATGACTCACAGTGGCCTTTTAGACTTCATTTGAGTTTGAATTTGTTGGCCAGCATTAGTCATTCATAAGGTAGTCACTCAAAAGCTTATTAAGATTGATTGAAAGACACAAGTCTAGTAATCCTTTTAAAACCAATTATGAAGTACCAAGTTTTACAAGTAATTCATTTTAAAAGA